GAGAGAGAGAGAGAGAGAGAGAGAGAGAGAGAGAGAGAGAGAGAGAGAGAGAGAGAGAGAGAGAGAGAGAGAGAGAATGTCTATGAAGTGGGTGTGACATTAACATCCTTTCTTGGTGTGTGTAGGCGTGAGTGCACGTGAATTTTGTTAACACCACTGCCATTGTAAACGGCCAAGACAAATTCCTCCCTATGAGACGAAAAAAGATTGCCCTTCTTGACGTTCTTTTAGTCGTTCTTAAGGTGTTTTGCGCCATCGTTCGACAAGTCTGATCTGGATGTATATGATTTGATGGGATCAGAAAGTCGGACCAGCCCAGCCACGTTACAAAGAAATGTGCTTTAGAATCTGTAATTATTAAAAGTTTTACGCCCTCATTGAAAGAGTTTAGATAATTTAGGAGGCGGGCTGTTTCAATCCTGTCTACCACAGCCAACTCGGGATGTATGGGACACAGTATCCAACCACAGTCAGAGAAGCTCGTTTAAAAAAATAAACAGAATAAAAACCCTTCCCTACTCGGGAATCGAATTCATGTTTTCTGGGTGCGACGGCAAAGAGCCTGACCATAACACCACTGACGCCGGTGTACTGGTTCCATGGCTCCGCGTAGTTCCGTGTCGTTTGTTTTTTTATCCCTTGCCCATATATATTATATGAGATTGATCCTATCTGATTAGTAGAAAAGAGTGTGTATGATAGCGTCCAATAGTGGTGCATACTTAGTATGACAAGTAACTGTTGCATATAGAGATTCCAGGATTATGCATGTAAGTCATTGATCTGAGAGCAAAGATGATTTAAGAAATAATGGTGGTGATCAGTGATGATGTGGGATTGCGTTTAAGCAATGTTAGCGTTAGTCCTATCTTCCTCTGCTCCAATGAGTCACGATGGACGTGGGGACCCTCTTTCCCGTTCCCTACTGGAACCATCTTTACGGTTTCAGTGAAGTTCCGAAATGGTGGGCACAGTCTCTGCTAAGGTGACATTGTTAGTATTAGCCTATTCTACGGGCCAAGACCGAGAGGAGTTAAGTGGGAAGACTGTATGTCGGGGTATTCGTAAGCGGGTTGTGGGTAGCAAGTTGACAAACAGACTATGAACTTTACAAATGCTGCATTCTACTCCCTGATCATTTACACTCTTTTCGCGTCCTATTAAACTTGCGGAGATTCTGACACAGGATCCTCGAACAAGAGTCGAGAGGGCACAATTTACACATAATTATTAATATTGTATGCTCTCGCCTCGTTGTCGCGTGTCTAATATTCATCACCAGGTGGTGTCAGAAAAAAAGGTGTAATTAAACCACACCAGAGCATCCGCCAACAAGCCAATTAAAAGTAAGAAATCGCGAGAAATACTGAAACAACAGAGGGAAAGGGGTAGGAGCCGGCCTGCAACGCACTGGACACAAGTCGCTACCTCAGAATTATAAAGTTCTATCTGACATTTTTTTACCGTTTTGAGTTACTAAGACCATGAGGTCAGAAACCAAAAGTTCTATCTGCTCTATCAAAATCGTAAGATTATTCAAGATATTCAAAGAATTGCATTTGAAAAAGCTTAAAATGTTGTGAAACTCAAAACTTCCGACGTCAAATTTCTCAAAACAAGGCACTGAGCAGATAAAACTTTGCAAGTCTAGTGTAGCAAAGTGACGAGACTTACCTTTGATGTCGACGGCTTCGGAGTGCAGAACAGTAGCGTTGTCCATCACTTTGCCGACCGCCTCCTCCACGGACAACATAGGGTACGGGGATTCCCGGGGCCGCAGCGCCACCTTCTCTGTGTCCACGT